TGTAGTTAGAAGTTCATCTACTCCAACTTACCTGCGGTCCAAATTACCGTTCTAGAGTTAAATAAGTATAGTCCGCGGCGAAAGGAGCCGCGCACACCTTAAATTTGCATGCGGAAAAACTTACTCCCAGCGGCCGCGGGAAACAAATTCGACTGCATTTTTCCACTTTCCACTTACTTCTACAAATTTTCTTCTCTGCCTATCCTATTTTCCCACCCCCCAAAACTCTATTACAGGGGTACATGAGTGGGCCTACATAAGCTACTTTTCCGACTGAGGATAGATTTCACTAAGGATGTGTTTGATTAAATTCGTTCAGTAGAGCTAGGGCTCTAGCGTGTGGATATAAGGCTTTTAGATATCGGTGGGTCCACCGGCCACTCCAGACACCTTTTTCAACCGCTACGTGAAAAGGGGTCACACGGTGCCGCATCTGCTGAGAGGAGATAAAAATCTGCTTCGGAGGAGAGCAAGACGACAATGCGTTGGCAAAAAAAATTAGGGTGCGGAACATATTTGTCGCAGTAACTTGAGTAAATGAGAAAAACCTTTGCCGCTGCGATCTTCAGGCTCGGTTCCGTGTTGGAGGAGAAGAAGTGGGGCCCCAGGTGGAGGGATTAGTACATTCTGTGCCGAGCTAAGAGATAATAAGCTTTTGAAAATTGACAGTCAGACGAGCGTACGTCCGCAACCGAAAAGGGCGGCATCCGAAGTGTGGCAGCGCGGCGGTTATCTTAGTCAGGTTATGTGTGAGTTGGCTTCAGCAAGCTGATTGGCCAGATCGGATTGAGGTAGACAGGCACTGGTGCCTGTGAACTTGTTGACAGCCGCGAGAGGTGAGCTTTGCGCGTGGTGTGGGGTCATTACATATGCATATCAGAGCTCGAAATTGGTCAAGCTGTCCGCAACAAAGCCGTTCGGCAAGGTTAAACGTTCGCGATTTACGTCCTAAGTAGCTAATAAGGTGACTATTTAAGGAGTTCCTGGGTCCCATCCGCTCATTCAATTGCCCAACAGTAGTCAGCAAATCACAGCTAGAAAGTCTTTCAAGGCGTAGGAAATTGTTATTCGTCCGCATTGTCAGCATGTGTTGAGGCGTACATAGAGATAGCAGAGATGTTCGTATTGTGCACCTTAAGTCGTACGTTGGTCGGCCGGTATTTGAACGAGTCCTGTGCAAATAATGCATGATTCACTTATTTTAGAAGACGAGTACCACACGACGTCTACCAGGAGAGTACCGTATGCCACACACAGTCTTTCAACCCATTGTCTTTTTCGTCAACAGAATGCTCACCTTCATGTAACACAAGCTTTCTTTCTTTCCAATGACAACTCCAATTATATCCTCAGCCAGTCGTGTATATAAAACTGAGCCTAAATCAATTTTAGGAAGATGTTTAAGCATCTTTCTATGAGCACCTTCGCTACCCTTGTTAGAGGTTCCAGTGTTTCCATCCGAACAATGCCTATTTCTGCTTGTTGGCTGTCAACTGTAGTCATCATCGCTATTCCAGAAGGGATACTAATGCCGTGTCTACTGCTTTCATGTTGACCTAGAGGTTTACCCTAGTTGAACTAACGGAGAAACTCTTTAACCATTACATGGCGACAAAAACTCGAAGAATTTGGGCTCGTGTTACAATAGAAGTCGTAAACGTCCCGACCACTTTACTTTAGTGAAAGAGATTGCCGATTTGGCCACTTAAAACTTTATTGGTGCCACCTGACACGACCCTAGACAGATTCTGCGTTCGATGTTGCCCAATACAGAAGTCAAGAAGTCTCGACAGTTTTCAGACGTTGCAATGTTTTTGGCTGCCAAATAAAGAAGCTAAGTGGTCTATAAGTATACCGTGTAGTGAAATGTTCATATTATTTTCGTTTAATCGCGTATATCGTGAATTCTTTGCAGTTCATGCTTTGCTGGAGTTTTACGGGCTAAAATGTCACAGACAGAGGCCGAAAAATGGGCCCCATTACACGTTGTCAGTCCAGATCCGGATAACAAGTCATCTCAATCTGTAAAATAGGCCAGAAGCCACAATTTTAGACGTTGCCTTCCTCTAGTTGCTAGGTTTTAAATAAAGATCTTATCACTGTGTAGGTAACTGCAAGACGCATGGTGGTAGCATCCAAGGGGAAACTGAACACCTGGGGTTCCTGTAAACAGGTACTTAACGTGAGCTTAGCCTCGAAATTCTCCCTGTTGGTACTGCATCCAATCTTTGACGTTTTGATGTTAAGGTAAAGCACAAAATCTCAGACGTTATAGGCTCTCCACTGTTAGTCTCGCCTTTTACCAACTGCTTCTCAACTAAGCCTAGGATAGAAAGAATATGTTGGTTCATTTAAACTCAAATCTTAAGACTACGCTGTAGTAACATCAGCCTTTATATCCTGCTTACCTGATGAAGTTAGTTTTATGAGTTTTCACCAGTTTAGGTCAGACTAAAACCTTGCG